TGCGTGTGCCTCACACGAAAGGGGGAGCCACTACATGGAAACACATGTTGGCTCGGTGATAACCTCTCTCATAAATGTACAGAGAAAACAGGACACTAAAAGTAAATCGGAAAGAGAAAATGAATAAGATGAGAAGCAGATGCAGCCCTTTCATTACGAGTCAATAATAATATAGATCTTTCCAGACATTAAAGTATGTGTGATGCGTCTATTAAAACTCCTGTAAATCTTCATTAAGTGCGATGTTCAAAGACACAAAGACAGGGAGAGGAGCTCAGATATCCGGAGGGAGATCAGAGCAGAACTGCTTCTCCTTTGCATTAAAAAGGAACCAGTTAAAGGGGACATTTCATGCTCATTCTCAGGTGCATGCTTGTATTTTGGGGTTTCTAGTAGAACATGTATACATGCTATTTAAAAAACACATTATGCTTCCATCATCTGTTCAGACCTTGTTTCTCTAAGCCCAAGATCTGTCTGCTCTGACTGGCTTGTGAAAAAAATATGGTGCACCGTTGCAAATGTAGTTCTAAAGCCGTGGGTGGAGATACTCAGATGGAGCCAATATATATTCTAATGAGCCTGTGTGACAGAGGGAGGGCAGCCAAATCTGAATGGCTTGTTGAATCACATGTTTTTTGATCTAAGCAGCCCACAAAGAAACAGATTGGGTTTTCTTATTTCACAGCTTGTGGGTGCAATGCACTCCAGATACCCAAATGTTTGCGTATGTATGTTATAGTGATATGTCCCTTGTTTGAAAGACATTTTGATCTCAACAACACTTTTACCTGGTTAAATAAAGGATTTTAAGTTGGGGTTGAGGGAAGATGGAGAATGTGGCCTAATATCATTCCCTCATCATTCAGTTAGTACATATAATTGTGTAATTACTGAGTCCTAAATATGGGAAATAGCCATTGGCTTAAATACATCTTGCAGCCTTTACCCTGTCAACGGTTCCATTACAATCTCCACAGGAAATGTAAATCATGGTGGCAGTGACATAGCTCTTCTTTATTGAGTCTTAAAGAACACAGTGCTGCACCCCAGACACAACGATGAGCTAAACCATGACCATCTTAAGGATCTGTCCTTTGACATGCTCACATTTCTCTTTACTGGCTGTGGATGGATGGCTGCTGATGTTAATCATCACGGTTTGTTTACAGGACGCTTGATAGGTGATCAATTTGGACACTTACTCACGATATTAGCTTAGTTTGAAAGTGGACCCAGAACACAGGCAAAGGTTACATCCCAAGTCTATTATTTGATATTTTCCCGCTCCTCTGTCCTCCCTTGAACTGAAAGTTGTTCTGGCTCCCTAAAGCTCTTATTTCTGCTTTGAGGAGCGAGGATCGAGAAGCAAGGAGGCATCTCTGAGGAAAGCCATGTGCGAGGATACTCGAGAGCAGACTTCACGGAAGTCGTTCAGCATAAAGAGCTGACGTACTCCGACGACTCCTCATCCAATCTACAGCTGATCAATTTTAACTACATGGCTGAGAAACAGAACAAGTGCAAGTGCCTGTTATTGGAAGTTGTTTTATCCTTAGAAATATAATGTGACATTAATGCAGCATGGGTTTACATTTATTTTATCCACAACCCGTTAATGTCATAACTCGTAACATTTGTGTTGTACAGGATCCGTTATTTTTTATCGGACCTTAGTTAGAAAACACCTGTTTGTTCATTACATGTCAGGTTACAAAAGATATTTGCATTTGCAGACACATTTTATGTTTCGCTTCTCATTTAAAGAACCGTTTCACTGAAGTAGGGTAATACATTTGCCTATTACCTCATGTGACCAGCCTTATGTTTTCTTTGATGGCAAAATCCTCAAAAAGGGCCCCGGCCTGTTGTTAGCCACGAGGACTATCAAAGAAAACAGCTAGCTTTTGTGTGTGTGTGAATATAATGGTAGGCGTCTAAGGGCTTTCTGCCAGAAATCTTCTTGGGTTAAGGCAACAAACTTCTTTGGTAAAGGTTAGAAAAAACCCGGTGGGAGGGACTTAGAAGCAAGTGAGGGAAACGTGGATGCAATTAAGAGACTTGGGATGCACCTAAAGAGGCAGGTGAAGAAAAGAAGAAAAGGGTTGGTATACTGGAGGGCTGATGAGCTGATTGCTTGCAGGTGTGTGTGGAACAAGGAGAGGTGATGAGCTGATTGAAGGCAGGTGCCCTGGTAGGTAATGAAGTTTTTGGAGATCTCTCACTCCCAGAAAAGACTGTTTGAGGGTCAGGATTTGGTTTTAGGGTTAAGGTTAAAAGTAGGTTCTGAATCTTCTCCAGGAACACTGTTGTGTTATATATTGTACATATTGTGATGTAATTTGTGTCAGAGATTATTTGAGATGTATCCATTTTGTTTTGTGTTGACTTGCCTCCTGTTGCTGCCTTTTTGGCCAGGGCGTCATTGTAAATAAGAACTGGTTCTCAATGGACTTAACTGGTTAAATAAAAAGGTAAAACAATAAAGGGTAAGGCATTTTATTTGGAAATATTACGTCAATGAGGGTTCTCACAATAGACATAAACATGTATGTGTGTACAATAAAAAGAAAAACAATTTTTGTTTCACTGCTCTTCCTCTCCCCCTCTCTCTTTATCCCTTCCTATCTTACCGCATCAGCTCTCATCTAATTACTGAAGTACCAAAGGGGGGGTGACCTCATCACCCCAACGCCATGGTAACGCCCCGCAGCCGTGCACCCTGGGTCCCGGGGATCCTGGGAAGGCGGAGGAATGTGGAATGTGATTGGTCTGCGAGATGCAGAGTGAACGCACAGGGTGGGAGCAGCGCAACCTGAGGATGGATTAAATGACAGCTAGTATAGACACACACTATAGCACAACTCTACAAACTGTGCTGATTCAACTCACACATACAGGAAAACACAAAATGTGTTTCTTCTGTTGGCCAAAGTATTAAACGACATAACACCCTACAGCTACACATACATTATTACACAAGCAAGTGATACCTGCAAAGCAGCAGCTATCAGAGTCTAATTCACTTTGTCTGTCCAGGCTGCAGGGCAGATCTATGAAGTAGTGGAAGTGAAGGGTGCTGAAAGCCCTTATTTTCCTTTATTCACACAATGTTAAGAGTTGAAATATTTTTGCCCTCGCTTTACTAAATCACAGCGCCATAACAGCTTCTTTTTGAACTGTTGAACTGTTGTTTGAACTGAGCAGATCTGATGTAAATCATGGGGACCTCACAACGTTGACCATGCTGGTGAATGGGGTTTACGTTGGGGAACCAAATAGCCTGGTAACAAGAGACAGTTAAGTCACAAAGCACTGTTTTGAGTGAATATTTAGGTTAATATTCAGAGAAACTTTAACATTTAAATATTTAGTTTAGATCCAAACAGGTAAAACCAGAGAAAGCAGCTGTAAATGAGAGTAAATCACAGCTATAATGTTAGCTTTGAGGTTTCTGCGTGCATCGGTCTTTTTATGTAGTGTGTCACAATCTTTGTGAGGACCCCGTAACTTTGCAGGACTTTCACTTGCAAAAGGTTTTTTTTTTATCTTGCACTCTTAATACTATTACTTAAGTAAAAGGAGCTTAATATTTCTTACAGAACCTGAAAAATGAATTTCACTCTATAGCCTTTTATATCATGTTGGTGGAAAGTAGTTAGGCTTAAACGAAGTACACCACGGTCACATGACTTCATGTCACCATTACTAAGCTAAAGGCAGACTAGTGCTTGTCGGGATGCCGTTTCATTTGGCCCCTTGTTTTTAGCAACCGCCCTTTTTAAAGACGCATTAAAGCTTCAAAATTCATTGGAGGGATATCCGGCTTATTTTAGGTTTATTGAACAATATGATAAAATCTCTGAAGCCTTTGTTAATTAGACCTTATTTCAAGCATCTAACCAAAAACCCATTGACTTCTCCACAGTCATCTCGCTCGGCTTTGTAAGTCAGCATATTTAGAGTGCTGTATATTTGTGCCCTCTAACATTGTGCGTTACAAAGAAGAACATCAGATAGATCTTCTCAGAGGACAGTCCTTCTGGCTCATTGTAATGCCTGATGCTATCAAATGGATGAAAGGAGCTCATTTTATTGGCCATCATTGAAGCCCATCCACTAATTCTGTATTCCAGCTGCTAAAAAAATGTCTTCACCCTGGTGGAGTTTGCACTGCGCTGTGCTACCTTTACTGATCAAACTATTGAATGCTTATGCCCTTTCTGGGTCTGTTTAGCCGTTGCTTTCACATCTTGGATTTTTTTTTTTTCTTGCGTTGCGGTAAGAAAGCCATTTAGCACTTTGAGGTGAGAATCGCAGACCACCTCTAATATTATTTTAAGAAAATGTAAGAAACCATCGACGTCTGTGTTTATGTTATAGACATATAACTAAATGATCTTAATGACTAAAAAATAAAAACCAGAACAAGCTTTTAACAAAGGGCGTAAACATTTCTTCATTGCTAAAAGAGGAAAAGTGTTTCACTTCTAAAGCAGTAACATTCTCTCTCTCACACACACACAGACACACACACACACACACACACACACACACACAAAGTGCCTCGTCCCTATTCAGCAAACCCACACAAACACTCATTCATCCAACTCGAGGCTTCCACAGGCAGCTCTCTAATCAAAACAAATCTTCAGAGACAGAGGCAGAGCAAGACAGAAAGAGCGTGAGGCGTTCTGAATGTGTTGTCAATTAGCAGCAGCTCAATGGAGACGGAGTGAAAGACGCCGAAACAGGAAAGATCCTGAATGAATCAAACAGGTCTGTGGTTTTTATGCGGTCTCTGGTGTGGACCCAGAACTAAATGTTTAACTCAGTTTTTCAACTTCTTGAAAGATTTGGTCAAGAATTAGTTTTATAGAAACAATGAGGCAGCATGTACAGACAGGCCTTCAGTGGGCTGGGTGATGTATCGTCCAGGACATTTCCTTTCAGAACTCAGTTATCCCCTTCCTGCGCTCCAGCTTTCTTTTAGGCTTGTCCTTCATGGGTGTAATTCATTACCGCCTGCATTGAGATGCTCACACACACACACATACACACACACACACTTGGTTGTAGGAATCAAACATAGTTTTTACTGCTTTTGTAATCTATGATATCAAAATGTGTGTTGGTCCTGTGCCTATTTGAAGCACACCACCCTGTATGTTTAGGGACCCGGGACAAGAACCAGTTTGTTAATGAGCTGAAATGTTTAAATAATGTTCAGGATATTTGACATGCCTTTTCTCAATGTTTGGTTTCGAGACTGAACGGTTAGCTGTAGGAAGGCTAAAATTGGTTTCCCAAAATATTCGAAGGAAACTGGTGTCAAAATCGGTGGTTGTGTTGTTAAACCGTAGCAGTCCCGCAGATGAAAGTAGACAGGATAAATGGAGTGAAATATTAATTGCCATTTCTTAATTTTGAGAAATAGCAATTAAACTACAGTACATAATGAATGCATACAGAAAGGACCAGTCTTTTCTCTTTTTTCAGTGTTCCTCTTTTCGCTACAATGTGAAGGAGATTAATGGGAATAATTTCTCCCATCAGGCTCAATCATGATTCCTATAGCCGTATCTCTCAATCTAAATGTGCTGTTTCAATATCACCTCGCATCCTGGATCTGGAGAATGTACATGGCAGTTGCTTTCACTCACCCATTTAAATCTCTCCATGGACCAGGATTCCTCTCTCTACTACCTAACACAGTACAACAAAACGCGCGGCACTTTGTCATTTGGATTCAGATGGAGGGAAAGGTCAATAAATCATGTCCGACAGACTGTTCTGAGAAAGACAAGAGAAATACGGAGGGGGAGAAAGAGACATGGATGAAGAGACGATGACCTGGCCAAGTAATGAACTGACAGAGTGAGGAAGACAGACATGAGAAGTGTCTTCTTGGGGCAGAAAGAAGAAGACACTGCGATTGGCCCGCTGTGCAGAGGCGCAAACAAGTGCAACACTTCTTCCAGGAGGGACTGTCCAAAAGTGTGAGCAGTTATTATCATATTCATTGAAAGGATTCTTGAGTCTGTTGTAGAATAAATATAATAATAATGCACTAAATGAGATTTGGATGCATGGTATATACAGACACACACACACACGTCAGATTGTTTTAGAGAAGTTGTAATTATTTATTTTTTCTCTTCCATGCCTTTGCATCAGAATCTCATCAGTTAGCATATTTCCATATTACGTTGTGGCGATACCGAAGCCCCAGATTTCAGCTGAGCTGATACAAAAATATTTACTTGGAGAAAAAAGTCTCACAATTGCCTTCACAATGAAAAAATGCCCAGTTGATAAAAATGAAATGTGTATAAAAAGGGATCTCAATAAAAATTGACCAACACACAAACGATAACATAACGCCTCCAAACATTAAGCAAGCACAAACTCTTGTGCAAATAGACCTCATGCAGGTAACTTAGAGTAAAGGTGTTCTTAAATATTCACTCCAGCTAGTTTCAGAACACTGAAAATAACCCTCAATTACAACAGATAAGACAGCAAGGAAGTATCAAAAGGGCCTAAAGACCAGAGTATCTGGCTAAAATGAGATCTGCATTGAGTCGAGGAATGATCAGAATGTTCCCCACTTCTCTTACCCTAACGAAAGGGTGTCGACTTATTCTGATTGGCCAAGACAGGAAATGCACCAAGCTGCTCTCAATTCTTAATTAGGAGCCAATCACCACATCCTGCACAACAGGTGATGTGAATGAGCCTCCAATCAACTCAGGGGAATGTGACGTTCAGCTAAAATGAATTGGGAGAAGATAAATGACAGCAAGTACTAAAGAATGAGGGACTATAAGTAAGTAAGTATATAATGTGTTTACATATCAAACATTCTTTACCACTATAGACACATTGTCCAAAAATGAAGTCCCTCTAACATGCTCTACATTACATTTTAAAAAAGAAATAAGTGATTACATTATGAAAGTAGTTCAGTGGTCTGTGGGTTAGCGTACAGACAGCTCTTCTATGACAGGTTCCACATTTATTACAGTCCAACCCACATTTACTTATTCTAACATGAGACATATTGAATTGTAAAAGCAGCTAATTTCCTTGAAATTTTATCAGTGCAAAAATAATCCATCAGAGACAGGAGTAAAGCTGACCAAATGCTGTACATTTCCTCCTGACTGTATATTGTATATGCTCATATGTCTGAAGTATGTTTGTACCTTCTGCTCTGACTCGAAACTTCGATCAGCTCACAAAGAGTACAGAGTGAAGTGACCAAAGAAAAGTGTTTGAATAGTTGCCATCTGCAGTATCAATAGCTTTGTGAACACAATATACAAGTTAACAGATTTGTGAAAAAAACAAATGTACCTATATGGCATGCAAAGACAACGGACAAAAAAATGAGAACAAGTAAAATATATATTTAAAAGTCAATGTATTAACATTGGGCAGGAAACGATCTCCGGTTGTTAAACCTATCAGTATTTCACATCATGGTATTGAAATGATGCCGGTAAGTTTTTGCTAATCTATTGAAATTTAGTGTGGAGCATCGAGTGGAGCATCGAGTTCATCTCACACAAAGTCACAGAGCCCTTCTTAAACCAGAAGCATGGGAAGAGAGGTTCTGTGAATTTGGCATGGAAGGTGTGTATGAGAAACTGCTTTTCAGGTGTGACATCGTAATAAGTCAGAGTACCAGCTTCCCAATCCAGAAATACTCCTATTTTTTTACAAAGGGGCATTTTGTCTTTGGACTTAACGTCTTTTGATGTCTTCCCTCCGATGGGCTTAACATCTTTGGACGTCCTCTTGTCATTAGGCTCAACATCTTTGGATGTCTTCTTCTTGTTAGACTTAACATCTTTGGACAACTTCCCGTCGTTGGGCTCAACATCTTTGGATGTCTTCTTCTTGTTAGACTTAACATCTTTGGACAACTTCCCGTCATTGGGCTTAACATCTTTGGATGTCTTCTTGTTGTTAGACTTAACATCTTTGGACAACTTCCCGTCGTTGGGCTCAACATCTTTGGACGTCTTTCCGTCGTTGGGCTCAACATCTTTGGATGTCTTTCCGTCGTTGGGCTCAACATCTTTGGACGTCTTTCCGTCGTTGGGCTCAACATCTTTGGATGTTTTTCCGTCGTTGGGCTCAACATCTTTGGACGTCTTTCCGTCGTTGGGCTCAACATCTTTGGACGTCTTCCTGTCGTTGGGCTCAACATCTTTGGACGTCTTTCCGTCATTGGGCTTAACATCTTTGGACGTCTTTCCGTCATTGGGCTTAACATCTTTGGACGTCTTTCCATTGTTGGGCTCAACATCTTTGGACGTCTTTCCATTGTTGGGCTCAACATCTTTGGATGTCTTTCCGTTGTTGGGCTCAACATCTTTGGATGTCTTCCCTTCTTTGGGCTTAACATCTTTGGACGTTGTCCCGTCGTTGGGCTTAACATCTTTGGATGTCTTCCCATGTATGGCAGTGTATCCAGTCCTCGAGCAGAGCAGACTCCAGGACTTCTCATTGCATCCTAGGCCACCACTTCCGTCCCAACTTCTACCCACTGCTCTATATGCCACTGCAATGCCGACCACCCCTTCCCATTCCACCTCCCAGTAGCAGAAGCCTTTTAGGCCCTCCTCACAAAACATCTGAGTCCTCTTAAATCTGTTGTCGTTTTCTGGTCGTTGCACTTTCTCCTTTATCTTTTCTACAGTTTTTGCTTTCCTGTTTTCATCAAACAGAGTAAGCCTCTTGCTTGCAGTGCTTTCATCAAACTTCAGATCAACACCATCTGAAAAAGAAACAAAGAACACATCATTTAGTTTTTTTGATGTAGTTTAAAGACTACAAAACATTGATCTTACATTGTTAAGATGAAATCCAAACAAAATTAATTCAAGATGAAATCTAAGCATGTTGCAAGTAACAACTCTCACAGTGTAAAATTATCAGAAGCTATACTACTTGCGGAGGTAGGTAAGGTGAAGGCATATTATTGGACATTCTTTTCAAATTAATCAGGCATGAGCTTATTGTCTAAGGCTCTACTGAAGTGATAACATATTAAATAATGAAATAAAATACGAAAATAAAGTAAAAACTTACACTTCTTCAGCCCTGGCTTTAACCGATGCGCTCCACCGTAGTCCAAACTGTGCAAAATGAGGACAGTGTTATCAAGAACAGAAAATTTCAAATTCAATACAATGCTTTGAAAAGCCTCTTTTTAAATGTTAAAGCGCCTATGATAAAGAAATAAAGAAATAAATATATATAACTATAATGAAATAAATATAACTGCTCCTTGGCCAAACTTGACTTTTCTTTGTAGGGCTGCTGCTTGGGTGTTTGGGAGGGGTAAGTGTGTGCGTGTGTAGGTAACTCACTCAATGCCAAAAGACAAGGACTGGGAAAGTGCATTTGATATGCACAGAATAAATACAGCAGAAAAAAAGGCTTGACCCATGAGATTCACTTGGTATTAACATGTGATCTGAATCTGATCCACAGTCCTTTATCATTTATATCTGGGGTTAATAAATGTTATTTTCTCTTAACACCAAGGTAATTCTTGAGTGTTTTGGTAACTAGCCTGCTAGCTAATAAGATAAAATAATTAGTTTAGATTTTGCCTCAGTGTACATGTAGTCTTATTATAACTCGGAGAACCAGCTACTGTATATCGATACAAATCTAAACATATAAACACACATCCTGACATCTTAACATACCAGAGTGTCTTCAGGCTCATATTTGGATCTGCAGCTATAGCAGAAAGCATTGCCCCCCCATCGGCTCCTGGGTGATTGTAACTCAGATCCAGCTGTTTCAGGGAGGAGGCCGGTTTGGACTTGAGAGCAGAGGCAAGGAAGGAGCAGCCTTTCTCTGTCACCTGACAACCTGACAGACTGCAGACAAAACACACACACACACACACACACACACACACACACACACACACAGTGTTTTCATGACTTTTTGGGACATTACATTAATTTCCTGGAGACCATAACAATAAAAGTACCAGCATATGCCTAACCCTTGCACAAAATGATTTTGGAAGTTTCTCTTCCTAGTTAATGTTTGTTTTATTGGCTGCACATTTTGAGAAAAATGTTTCTACAAATTCTGTTATTGCTATTGCTTATTGTTTGTTATCGTCAACAAACGCCATTTCCCACAAAGAAAGACAGAGAGAGCTGAACTGTGCACAGGTTTTTAGACAGCTGAGATTAGACATAAGAAGAAAGGGCCATTGGTTATCTTTGTCAAATTTACAAAGGGTTCAGTTTCTAATAGCTGTTTCCCTATTTGGAGTCTTTTTTGCACTTAATATAATGGGGGTTTTCTGCGGTTCACTTTGAAATGTAAAGTGAAATGCACGATGCACTTACTTGAGAATCTCCAGCTTACAGTGTAGACTCTGCAGGCCGTCAGCAAGCATCTGCACACCTGTATCCAGCACGTCGTTATGACTCAGGTCCAGATTTGTCAGATTACAGGATGGGGAGTGGAAAACTGAGGATGCAAGACCTCTGCAGGATTCCTCAGAGAGCTCACACCAGCTCAGCCTGTGAAAATATTTGTAGGTAAATATAGACATGTTCCACGGAATTATTTTTGATTATATCGGCAAATGTTTAGACACCAGACCAAGTTGTTCAAATGTGCTAAATCACAGTACTATGAGTCATGGTAATGCAACTTCCTTCTGAAAACTGGAAAAAGTCTTAACAAAAATCACTCAACCTCACTGCATTGGCAGATAAGATATGAAAACTGTTCCGATAACAAACAAACTTCAGATCATCACTTTATCTCTGCTAATTTGATAGGTTGAATGTTGATATCATCCCAGAGCCATCTCCTGAATGTTAGTGCACATTTATCACCATTTACTCATATATATATGCTATGGACAGAACACAGGAGATCTGTATTAGCAGTCTCAAAATAAGTAAGGGGGTACCACAAGGATCTGTGCAGGGTCCATTACTATTTACACCATACATAAACAATATTATCACTCCAACACAGACAGATGACAAAGCCTTGAATACATTTCACACCTCTTCAACTCAAACTTTATCAAGATTAAAAATCTGCCTTTAATGTTCCTCAGACATCTCTGCACAGTTTCAAACTTGTACTGAATATTCACAAGACAAAATCAGTTCTATTCTCAATAACCTATAATTCCAGTTAAAATCTCCCTGCCATTCATATGATTTAAGATACTGAAATTGAATTGTCTTGTAAAACCTGTGAATTTGGCTAGACAGCAATGTTATCTTTTAGACACGTCGAGCAACTGGCACAGAAATAAAGGGCATTTAGAGAGCCCAGACCTCTATCAAGGCTGTTCAAGTAAAAAATACTATCCAAATGTAATGTTTTTTCCTTGGCCCCTGCTCCAATTTTCCGCTAACTTAATTAAAATCGGGCCAGAGTTTTCAGACAAATGAACAAATCTAACTTAAAACATCACCTCCTTGGAGCAGGTAAAAATGGGTCTAAGTTGAACTCAGTTCAATTGCCCAAAGAAGATGACTCATATCAACCCACTTGGGATCCTCAAGGAAATGGTAAACAGGATTCAGTTTTGAATAAATATATAGACTTATTATGTAGTACATAGCAATATAACAAAATTATATTTGAAAGAGCATTTTAAAGTACTTACAGAGCAGTTTTGGAGACTTTAACCACCGGCAACATTCCCAGAAGAACTTTCTCTGATTTCAGGTACTTTTTCAGAACAAACACGTCGAGTTTCTCATCTGATGTCAGCAGCACAAAAGTCAGAGCTGACCACTGGGAAGCGGAGAATGTTTCGAATGTGAGTGTTTCTGATTGCAGGTACGTTTTCACTTCTTCTATAAGGGAGTGGTCATTCAGCTCATTCAGACAGTAGAACAGATTGCAATTTTTATCAGCATCGCTATTCTCTTCCCTAATCTTTTCTTTGATGTACCCAATGGTTTCCTTGTTGGCAGTGTCCTTGTTGTCTTCTCTCTTCTTCAGCAGCTCTTGCAGTAGATTCTGATTTGTCTCCAGAGACAGGCCTAACAGGAAGCGGAGAAACAGATCCCATTCTCCATTTTTGCTATCTAAAGCCTTGTCCACCGCTGTCTTGTAGAAGTCTGCAGGGAAGTCTCCAACAGTTGAAGAAGGCATGGCAAGCAGATTTTCACCTGTGTTATTGAATGTGTGAAAGACATAAAATGCTGCCAGGAACTCTTGAATGCTCAGATGGACAAAGCAAAACAATTTCTGTTGGTACAGCCCAGAGCCTTCTTTTGTGATCCGAGTGAATAATCCTGAGAAGACAGCAGTTTTTGTGATGTCAACTTCGCACTCTGTCAAGTGCTCTTCGGTGTATAGAAGGTTTCCTTCCTTTAGCCCCTCAAAAGCCAATTTTCCCAGAGACATGATTGTTTCCTTGTTTCTTGTATTCCAGCAGGAATCTGTCTCGCACTTCTCAATTGTCTCATCTTCACCATACTTCACAGTAGCCTGTCTGCACTGTAACACAAGGAAGTATATGTACATGTCAGTCATGGTCTTGGGCATCCTCCCTTCTTCGTTTCTGTTCACAAAGTCCTCCAGGACTTTTGCCGTGATCCAACAGAAGACAGGGATGTGACACATGATGTAAATGCTCCTACATTTTCTAACATGTGACAAGATTTTCTCAGCCAAATCTTTATCACTGAATCTCTTCCTGAAGTACTCCTCCTTCTGCTCATCATTAAATCCTCGCACCTCTGTAACCCGGTCAACTTTATCAGCAGGGATATGGTGAGATGCTGCAGGTCGGGACGTGATCCAGATTTGAGCTTTAGAAAGCAGATTTCCGTGGATAAGGTTAGTCAGCAGAACATTGATTGAGGTTGGCTTTCTCATTTCTGTCCAAGGTTTACTTTTATTTAAGTCAAGATCGAGGCGACATTCATCAAGACCATCCAGGACAATCAGGGTTCTGTACTGGTCATAGTGCATTATTTCTGATGTCTTCATACCAGGAAAAAACTGATGAAGGAGTTCCTCCAAGCTGTGATCTTGCTCTTTTCTCAAATTCAGTTCCCGAAAAGAAAGTGGAAACATAAAAAATATGTCCCCGTTGGCCCTACCCTCAGCCCAGTCCAGCATGTACTTCTTTGTGGCAAAGGTCTTTCCAATGCCTGCCAATCCCATCGTCAGCACAGTTCTAATGGGTAGATTTTCTCCAGATGCAGGTTTAAAGATGTCATGATATTTAATCAATGTTTCTTCTCCCACTGGTTTGAACTTTGCATCTTGAATTTGTCGGCTCTCATGCTGAACATTGACCTCTCCCCTCTCTCCCTCTATAATGTAGAGATCTGTGTAGATCTCATTCAGAAGAGTGGAGGTTTCATCGATTCCCTCATGCACATAGGAAAATTGCTCCTTCAGCTGAGATTTGAGCTTCTGTTGACTTGCAACATCAGGCTTCCCTGGAGAAAAATATATGTTTAAGTTATTAAGGATAGAAATTAGACAATAGTTGTGATTAAATGCATGCAATCATACTGCAGTTTATCAACTCTAAACCATAGCATGAACAAGTAAGTTGTTGTTTTTGTATTTGATTGTTTAGGTGCACACTGGCAAACTAAAAATGAAGCAGAGCTTAAAACATTTAAGAATCAGCCTAAGAAGAGGGTGAATAGGAGCATTATTCATGACACTTGCTACTTTGTTGGTTTGAGTGTGAACCAGATTTCTCCCCCTTATCCTGCTGGTCTGTTTTCACGGTAGGTTATTTTGGACAAATGGTGAATTTGCTTTCCTCCTTACAGTACTGGCAGTTGACTGGCAGCAACTGAATGAATATGTAAACAACTTGTGCTATTAAAACTAGTCATGTCCCAATTGGTGGTGATACAGACATGTGGAAATGGATTGTTATCGGCTAAAATAAAGTGGATCAAGTTATAATCCTTTCTTTACTGTACTCCACTGTCGCAGCACAGCCCTCCTTTGCCACGGCCTACAGTGCCAACATTTTGCGACGTAAAAATGATTTGGCTATACCGGCACGAGTGACTCTGACAGTGGAGTAGGCAAAATGCAAGGTTTACTAAACTCGGACACAAAAACATTTGTCTTTTCACCTCTCTTTCATATTAGCAAAGAGCAGCATTCAGGAAGCAGCTTCTCAACAATTAAATGGCGGCAAAAATACTAATTTACATTAATTCCATAAGAAACTTATGGCCAAAATTAAACGTCTCTTTGCAACCAGTGTCTGTACTTGTCAAAGATCGTCTTCAAGTGACTTGTCTTCTCCCTAACAGATCGGGTTGCATCAATTTCAGGAGTCCAATTCTCCTAGTTAAATATCATATCAGTACTTCAAGATGATAAACTTTGTTGATCGCTTGGAACTAGGACCTCAGGCATTTGGATCAAGAAGCTTGGTAAAAACAAGGTGAGTCAGATAAGATTCAGTAGTCTATAGCTATTATTTCACTGGGTCAGACACATACCTAATCAACAGAAAATATTAGTGTCGGACTCTGTTTCAGCAGATACTCAATATTAAAGACCTCCAATCAGTTTTCATTTCATAGCAGATTTGAGCATTTTGAGGCCTGTGTTTGATTGCACACCTATACCACTTCCCTTAACAGCATGAATCCACACCCATAAGCTTACATCGTATTTCTGTCATCCTATCGACACGTGCATCAGGCAACTTCCGTCGGGAGGTTATCCAGATTTGGGCAGAAGGAATCAGTGTTCCTCTGATGAGGTTTGTCAGTAGCACATCCACAGAAGCTAGCTCTCTGACGTCAGTCAAGGTGTCGTTGTTGTCAAAGTCAAGAGGACGTTGATAAGCATCCAAACCATCCAAGACAAATAAAACTTTGAAATCTTTAAAGTTAGAGATCACAAATGTTTTAGTTTCCTTGTATAAATGATTAAGAACTCCCATCAAACTGACTCGTTCCTCTTTAATCGAATTCATCTTAAAGAGGTTAAGTGGAATTATGACGTAATGCCTGAAATGTGACTTCTTGCCATTTTTAGCCCACTCTGTTATGAATTTCTGCACATGGAAGGATTTTCCAATTCCATCTTCTCCGGTGGTCAGCACAGTTCTGATCTTTTTTCCTTTTGTATCTTTGAAGATGTCAGATCCTGCTTTGACTCGTGTCACAGATTTCGGTTCAGTATGTCCAATTTTCTCTTCGTCATTGACATCACCACTTCGGTCTTCTCTCATGACGTGTTCCGTGTTTTTCTGGTTAGGATGATCTACGTCTTCTTCTTGAGTGGTTTCTCGAAGAAATCTGTCTCGCAGGGCTGAGGTCAGTTTCTCCCATCGCTTTAAGGTCTCTGAATGAATAGAATAAAGTTATTAATGACGATGGACACAAGCGGCATTAATCAGTTATTTTTAAGTATCATAAAACTGATTGTTTTGAACATAGTCAACTAAAATTATTCATAGTACAATACCAAAATAACATTTTAAAGTAAACAATGTTGTTGACAATAAATCAGTGGTGGGCCGTCAGGGCCTGCAAGGCCTTCTCTGCTGGCCTAAACAGAATCACAAAGTTAGAGCTATTTTATAAGTTAATAATTTTTCTTAAATACACTACATGTATTATAATTTATAAAAATATTTTCCCCATTATCTTATTTTCTCATTGCACAGCTACTGTCTTCCTCAGTTGCTCTGCTTCCAGTGCAGCTTGTTTTAAGTAGAGCTTTTATCCAATCAGATTTCACCTCTGTGTCTCTAGGTAAGAACAGAGGCCCGAGGCCTGCAGACTCAAGTGCATGCCTTTACAGTTTAAGTGAATGGGGACGATATCGTTGATTGTCATAGTGTTCAACCAATCAGATCTTTAGTTTGACATGTTGGGCGTATTCTTTGAAGTGCCAGAGCCTGCTAGCTGGCCTGGCCTAGCCGTACGTGATTGGTCAGTGGGCTAGAGTGACATGTTGGGCGGTGACAATCCCAATATCTGACATTTTCAGCCCTCAAACGCATTAAAACGTTTTCAAGAAATACAACTGGGGAGGCTCGACTCTCTTCACTGGCATCTATGAATCGAGAAGGACTTCTTACTGGAACTAAAACGCACGGATGTACTGAACAACCGTGAGATTACACTCTTTGTTAACAAAGAAAGAAGGTCAAGGTCAACAAGATTCGCTCTCTGATGTCCAGCTCTCCATCTATGCTTCCCTCTGACACTAACACCTTATCTGCGAGTGTGCTGTCTCCTCTACATGTTGCTGAGGTTCAGGAGAGCCATGTTGAGGAAATCCTCAGAAAAATGAAACCCTGTACCTGTACCCTGGACCCCATTCCTACTGCTCTGCTCAAATCACATATCCCCACTCTCAGTCCTTTGATCACCAAAGTTGTTAACCTTTCCCTGCAGTCTGGCTGTGTCCCACCTGCACTCAAGGTTGCTATCATCTGTCCCCTTCTCAAGAAGCCCACCCTGGACCCGGAGGTTGTAACCAACTACAGGCCTATCTCCAACCTCGCCTTCTTGTCCAAAGTTTTAGAGAAGGTAGTTGCTTCTCAACTTCAGGACCACCTCAAACACAACAACTTGTTTGAAAAATTTCAGTCAGGATTTCGTTCAGCCCACAGCACTGAAACAGCTTTGCTCAGGGTGACGAATGACCTGCTGATGACAGCCGATGCAGGATCACCCTCACTCCTCATCCTCCTGGACCTGACTGCTGCATTTGACACAGTGGATCACACTATGCTCCTAGAGCGCCTCCACACCACCATTCGACTGTCAGACTCTGCACTCAAGTGGTTTCAGTCCTACCTTTCAGGCAGAACTGAATATGTCTCACTGGGAAGATGCAAGTCCAGACTGCTCCCCGTCTCCTGTGGTGTTCCGCAAGGGTCGGCCCTCGGCCCCATCCTCTTCATTATTTACATGCTCCCCCTCGCTCGTGTCATCAGCAGACATAGGATGTCTTTCCACTGTTATGCCGATGATACACAGCTCTACATCAAAGCTGCCCCAAGCCCCTCTGCAGCCATGTCATGTCTCACCGCCTGTCTTGGGGAGATAAAGGCGTGGATGAGCAACAACTTTCTCCAGTTAAACAGTAGCAAAACCGAAGCCCTCCTTGTTGGCACTCCACACCAGGTTCAGTCATCCTCCATAACTCATCTCACCTTCGATGGTCAGGTCATCCCCCTCTCCTCCACAGTGACTAATCTGGGAGTTAGGTTTGACCCACACCTGACCTTTAATGACCATATCAAACACCTGTGCAAAACCTCGTTTTATCATCTCAAAAACATCTCCAAACTCTGCCCCACTTTAACCCTGTCAGATGCAGAGAAGCTCGTCCACGCCTTTATCTCCTCAAGACTGGACTAACTCACTATTCACTGGGATCATTGCCAAGAACATCCAGAAGCTCCAATACATTCAAAACAGCGCTGCCAGGATCCTGATGAGAGTTCGGAAGTATGAGCACATAACACCCATTGTGCACTCACTACACTGGCTCCCTGTCTCATTCTGGATTGACTACAAAGTCCTACTACTCACACATAAATGCATAAATGGAAACGCACCTCCCTACCTACAAGAACTCATCACTCCCCAAAACTCCACCCGCACCCTCAGATCATCAAACAGCTCGCTCCTCCGGGTCCCCAACACCAAGCTCCGCACCATGGCCGACCAGGCCTTTGGCTCGGCAGCTCAACAGTCTCCCTGACCACCTAAGGGCTCTTTATAAATAAAAAACCTAAGGGCTTTTTATAAATTAAAAAATTTAAAAAATTTAAGGGCAACACAGACACTGGTCTCTTTTAAAACTGGCCTAAAAACCTTTCTATTTAGGAAGGTGTTTCTGACCTAAATCACTGTCCGTTATTTCTTTTGTGTTTCTGTTCATTCAGTGTTTTTTTTTATGCCTACTAGTTCTTCTATTATAGTTTATTTTAACTATGTTTTAACTATGTTTTTATTTTACTATGTACTGGCTCTGTGGCACTCTGAGATTTTTTTAATGAAAAGTGCGTTACAAATAAAATGCGTATTATTATTATTATTATTAAGGATTGACTTTGTCTTTAAATAGTGAACAGCAGCTTTGGTAAGTGAACTGCAGTAGCTTTAACTGCCATAAATATTATTTATGTCATTATTTAATATGCTTGTTTATATTATATATTATTATTTGTACAACTTGTTTTTATGAATATGGATTTTCATTTGGTTTTATATGTGATAGGAATTATTGTTACGTCCTATGTTGCGCTGGGGACACATTTAGCCAGTGCACAGAAGACACGCGAAGAGGCAGCAGTCTATATACTCCGCGCAAAGTGTTAAAGTTAAAGTGTTAAAGTTAAGTTTAAGTGTTTAAGTAATCTACTTTGTGTTTTGAAGTGGACTCATTTTCCCTCTCGGTGTTGACAGACTAATAAATCCGTCAGAAACAAGAACTATGGAGTCGTGTATTTCCTGGAGCGAGTGATAGGAGATTTACCGCTCTGTTAATTTGTCTATCGTGTCGTTTTCATGATATGGGTAATATTGTTCCCTCTGATATGACTAATATTTGAATGGCCTGTGCTCTTGAGTGTGTGGCGGAATGCGTGTTTTAGCTAATTGATTTTGACTATATTCATGTATCTGCACTCATAGTGTATTTGTAGGTGTTGAGCTTAATTTGTACGAGTGCAGGCCCACTGCAATAAATATATATGAAATTATGTTACTGTCATAGTTTCATACCTCGGCATTCTGTCAATTTGTCAATATAATCAGAAGGAATCTTGTCAACTCCTGAAGGTTGAGAGATGATCCAGAGCAGAGCAGAGGGAAGCAATTTCCCCTTGATGAGGTTAGTCAGCAGCACATCAATCGAGGCTGGGTCTTCGATATCAGTCAGGTCCTCGTTCTTTGCAAAATCCAGAGGAAGTTTACATTCCTCCAAGCCATCAAGGACAAAAGCTACTTTACGCATGTCGTAGTTATCAATTCTGTGTTTATCGTCATCGAGGGAATCACAGATCAGATCTTTCAGGCTTTGAACTTCTTTTCTTGAATTCAGCGCACCAAAATGAAATGACACTATCAGATCTATCTCTTTGTTGGATTTTCCCTTTGCCCAATCTACCATGAACAACTTCGTTTGAAATGTTTTACCAACACCTGCCACTCCCTTCATCAGCACTGTTCTCACTTTCTTTTTCTTTGAGTTACGAAATAATTCATTAAATTGTTGGGCTTTAGCTTTAGCGTTTTCCACAGCTTGTATCTCGTAGAGTTTTGTGTCGGTTTCATGTCCTCTTAGTTGCTCTTCATACTGATTGAGGATTCTCTTCTTCACGACTTGTGGAAAGAAATGATAAAGACAAAGAAAGCAGAGTGCAATTACTGCATTTCATTTTACACTTTAACACAATATAATGAGCTATAAAATACAGTGTAGCATGATGTATTGTGTTCTACCTGCAGTTAAGGCCCAGAGGCAAATGGCAGGACAATAAACAAAATAATATTAATTTTAAATGTTTTGTCTTTAACTTTGATGAATCTGTTTGAAAAATTGTATTGTGTGAAAACCTTATGAATTTTTTGTGTTGGTCCTTGTTTGTATACCTTTCCTGATCTCTTGCTCATCCTGGTCAGTTTCCTTTGAAGTGTTCCTGGGCACAGACGAGACATGTTTGTGTCAATACAGAAAGATACATTTTTCCTCATATCATTACTTTGTCTTTTTCTCTGTTATAACTAACAGTTTGCAGCCCATGTTTTTTTCCTACCTGATCTCAGCCGTGAAGTCGAGAGGATCATCCTCGGACCTTAAAGGTGGGAAATATTCATTTTACCATTCTGACAAATCATTGTCTTCAAATTATTTCTTTGTCTTAGAGACTCTCCGTGTCAAACATCCAACATAACCAACACATCTTACCTTGGTTCTGCTTTAC